CTTAGAGTCACAAGTGTCACTCCTCTAATGGTTCACAAACACCATAAGCAAGAGGATGAAGAGGAGAGAGGATGGAGGCTGCCAAAAACGTGTAGAAATCCTAGAAAGATCATTAGCCACGTTTTTGAGCCTTAAGGGGTCTTTATATAGTTGGGCTATTAGGGTTATCTAACAAGGAAACCCTAATTTGGATGCTTAAGCCCTAAGCAACCCATAGACTCCTTTTATCAAGCTCATGGACGATTTCCTTATGGGTTTCCCATTAGAATTCGTCCATCCTCTAATACAAGGCAATCCATGGCCCAAATCATAATTATCTTATAATTACAATTTCAGTCCCTTAAGTTTAATTAATCTCTTTTAGTCACAAAACTAATTACCAATTAATTATTGACTAATATTAATTAAACAATATGATTTCTCCTTTAATATATTATTCTCATAATACATTAATAAATCATATTTAATCCTTACTCTCTATAAATCATCCTATCAAGTTGCTTTGGTGAAGGCAACCCAAAAGGACCATGCACCATCGGGTCAAGTACATACCAAAATAGTTATGGACTTAGACACTAATCCAACATATACATCATAACACATAGTATAGTGATGAAACACCCTTAGATCAATGACTCGAAGAAATACAATAACACTCTCAACTCCTCACACTAATCGCACCGGTGACCCAGCTAATCACTAAACAAAGATCAACCCTCAATCAGCAATCCAAATCCTTTTGACCCAATGTCAAACTAGTCAAAAGTCAAAGGTTAACAGTCAACAAAATTCATATGACAATAAAACAACAGCTACGGTGTCATGGAAATTTTTTGTTTTGGAGGGTTGGAGGCTAAAAAATATGGCCTAATCTACAAGATTAAGCCTTTAAATACGGAAGAAACCCTAAATATTGATAGGCTTTGGGTGTAGTGTTCACCATGTTGCAGCACCTATCTTCCCACATCGTGGTGACATATGAAATGCGTTCTTCATTAATGATACATTAGGTAGTGTCCAACATTCTACCACCTCATGGTGCTCCTGGGCCAACAACCCCAAAATCTGATTTAAGCCTAAATCCTCTCACAACACAAAGTCTTAATACCAAGCCCAAGCATCTTATTCCGCATGGTCCAAACTTGGTCCTTTTAGACTCATGACCTTCACCAAGTCAAATATCCATCCGAGCCTCCAAGTTAAGGTTATCTAGAAATAGGACGTCAGATTCTCCATCCGCTATTATTCAGTAATAACAACCTACTTTCTATCCATAACTTTTACTCCTTGTTGTTATGTAATAACAACTCTCATTATCCGAGATAACATCAAATTAATAATATAACATGTGTACATGCTTTATCTACGTATTAATGGAAATGGTATTACACGTTATTCCCTACATTGAAATATTTCGTCCCCAGAATCTCATGTTTGAGTTTCCGGTAGCATTAGTATGTGTGGATATTTATATCTAAACTCATCCTCTAGCTACTATGTTAGATTTTAACCTTTATGATGTTGCCACTGCACCTTTACAAGTGTAATCTCTTTGTTTTGTAGCTTTTTCATTTTGCGGTCCAAAATATTTTCTGGTTGTTCTTAATATTGTAATTTTTCATTTACCTCAATTTCCATCATTGGAACCTCTAGCATCTTATCGAATAAAATTTTCTTTAAATATGAAACATGAAGGACATTATGTATACCTAGGAGTTCATTAACTATATCCAACCAATAATCAACTTTTCTAACTCGTTTCACAATTTGGAAAGATCTGATAAACCTTGCACTTAGCTTTCCTTTCATACCAAAACCAATAATGCCTTTGCAAGGAAGACCTTCAACATTCCTTGTACCCCACTTTGAATTCCAAAAGTCTATGCCTTTTGTTAGCATATTGGACCTGATACAATTATGTCACTCATAGATGCTCTCATATTTCTTTAATCTTTGCCTCAATATTTTCTATATTTTCTGGTCACACAAAAGGCATTTCTTCGGCCAATGTTCAACATGGTAGGGTTTTACATGGAGTTCCATATAACGCCTCATACAATGAAATCTGGATGCGAGAATGAATGTTGTTATTATAAGCAAATTCTACCAAATGTAGGTGATCATCCTAGGTACCTCCAAAATCAATAACACATACATGTAAAATATCCTCGAGTACATGAATTGTTCTTTCACTTTCCCGTCCATCTGAGGGTGATATTTCATGCTTATTAACACCTTGGAATCCATATGTTCTTGAAAAATTTGCCAAAATCGAGATGTAAAATGACTAACTCTATCAGAGATAATGGAAATCGGTACACCATGATAATTCACAACTTCCATAATATACAATCTGTTAATTGGTCCACTAAAAATCTTTCTTTTATCGATATGAACAGAGTAGACTTAGTAAACCGAGTGACCACTACCCAAATGGAATCGAACCCATGCATAGTTCGTGGTAGTTTTTGTAACAAAATATATGGTCATCTCATCCCATTTCTTCACAAGGAATGTTAGTGATGGCAATCCCCATAAGGCTTATGGGTGTTTGATTTCACTTGAAAATACATATAGTTTGTGGTAGTTTTATCACAAAATCCATGGTTATCTCGTTCCATTACTTTACAGGGAGTGCTCGTGAATACAATTCCCCATAAGGCTTAAAGGGGTTAAAAAAATATCTCTTTTCATCCCTGGCCACCAATACAAAGATTTCAAGTTCTGGTACGTCTTTACCTCATATAGCATATAGGATGCATACCGAAAGGCAATAACACCTCTTAACGATTAGGCAATTCTAACATGTAATTCCTGAAAATATCATTACCCTAAATTTTAAGATGTATTTCTAACAGTTCACATAACAAAAAATATAATCAAATATGGAAAAAATTTGGAATCATTTTCACTTTTGAGCTCTAGATGATTATAAGCATCTCATCTTTCAACCTTTTCATAAAAAAAATTTAAAAGGTTTCTAAAAAATTCTAAGACTTAGTTTGAGTTTGAATTCACATGAACGTTCATCCAAATCCATCAAACCAAGGCTCTGATACAAACTTATAATGTCCCAAATTTCAAACCAATTTTTTTCTCTTAAAAACATAATTAAAACTTAAAAAAAACATTTCTATAAAATATCAAGGTAGTTAGTTGTTTAAAATATCATAAAATCATATTTCAAAAGATATCAAGTCACCGTAGAACAATGAAAGTCTATAACAAATTCAATAGTGATGTGTGTGCAATACAATGCTTAGTCAGTTCCCCAGAATACGATAGTCTTACCATGATCACATGAAATACCTAAAATACATATAATCGAAAACTCTAAGCACAATGCTTAGTGAGTTCCCCAGAATACAACATACTACAATACACATAGGATGTATACACATAAAGGCTCTCGACTGCAGTGTCAATCCACCTAAACCACGACGATTACTAGCTCCCGTGGTCTCTAGTCATCAATGGTGACTAATGTCTCCTGTGTGATCAAGTTATCAACATTAGCTATTCTAGGATCTCGGCTCCAATATCGATCCACAATCAAACCCGAATTATATATATCAAAATACCATATAATAAACAAATATACATAAAAAATACTATACTAGTCTACTTGAATAATAAACATAGTACAATGCATCTACATCCTATCATACAAAGGCTATATACTGTAACATATAATATAGTGAGATAACTCACCTAAACTAAAATATGAAGAATAAAATCTATAAAATCATACACGTAAGAATCAGTCTCACAAATCACCTAGATAACAATTAGAGGTCAAACCTCAGTCTACAATGTAAATCTATCAAAGTTTCACCAAAAGTCAATGTGGTCAAAAAGTCAATAGTCAATTGATTAAATTCAAAGGTCAAATAAATAATAAAAGTGGTCAAAAGTTCAATAGGTAGGCGTGTCGTGACCAAGACGAGGTGCTTCATACCCCAAAGCACGACAAAATAGTCGTGCAATCGCAAGAAGCATGTCGTGACACCGAAAAAGTGCCTTGTGCTCTATAACTTAACAACCTCCTTCTATTAAGATCTTATTACCTTAAGTCAAAAGCACAAAACTTAAAATTTATGCCCCAAGGGCCCCAAAAACAAGTGAATCCTACAATAGCTCTCAAGCATGTTCTGGGTATGGTGGCATGGAGTGAATCCAATCTTGTCGGTGAAGTACTAAACATTGATCTACTTATTGAACTTCCCAAGTAACTGGATGTTTAATACAAGTTCTCAGAGAACCTCTTCCATGTTGGGGGCATGCGAGTAGTTCTAAGGTTTGACCTTACCAGATATGCACACAAAAATCTTCTTGAAGAACTTAGATGGAACAGGTGGTTCATATGGTTGAGAAAATGAATGTTTGATGAACCAAACTTGGAAAGACTAGCATGGGTAAAAATCAAGGTTCTAAAAAGCTCGTCAAGGCTCCGCCATGGCGCGCCACGGCTCTAAGGCTTTCACCTGTCGCCAAGCTTTGCCAAAATGTCCCCTTAACTCATATATGTGTATAAAAATGAATAATAGTAGAAAATACATATAAAATTTTTAATTATATAGAAAATTTCCGCCTTAAGTCATGCCTTACAAATGTTGTGACTCGCCAAGGCTCGGAAAAGCTTAAGGCTTGACATTTCCGCCAAGTCACACCTTACATTATTTAGAACCTTGGTAAAAATAACGGGGGTCCCAATAGCTCTCAAATCTGAGGAGAATTACACCGTAATTGCAAACGTATACGGGAAAACTCTACAAGTTGAAGGAAGGATTTGGCATAATCTTGATCTTTCTTATGGAACTGCATGCATCCTGACCTCTGGATTAACCCAAATAAATGACATTATGTTATACACCTTCAAAAATAAGTTGTATAATGTGGGGGTAGTTGAATACAATTATAAATGGCATCCTTTCTTTTACAACAATGCAACTGCATAATTGGATGAGGATGATGATATCATATAAAACTATAACAAAAACATGTCTGAAAAGGAACCAGACTCTGATGAAGATGATGTATCAGAAACTTGTGAAGATCCACAGAAGGATAATTTAGAAGAAGGAGAATTTGATCAAAATAATGAATCGGAGTTCATGGCAGTTGACGATAACAAACAGGTGACCGATGGGAGGCAGCCGCCGACTACGAAGAGGCCGATGGAGATTATGCGGGAGTTAAACTCAAAATTAATTGGGGAATATGTTCTATCTCCTCGAATTATTGAACCTAATTATTCACTGGAGATTCCCAATACATGACAAGGCAGTGAAAAGTTAATTCCATGCCCCATACCCGACCTACTAAGTGTTAACCTAAATGAGGTTCTACCGGCTGCCAAAATAATGGATCGGGCACACAGAATAATTATTGAAACCTCCACCCTAATTAGAATTTCATTGAATCATCTTGATTCTTTACCCGAATTTTCAATTTGGTGACTCCCTTGGAAAGCGGCGGAAGATTGAGCACAATCTGTCATCGTTCATTACACCGAGAAGAAATTTTGACCCTCCTATCTCAGATTGTATCCAAAAAAAAATTCAACCCTAATACTGGTGGTTTCCTGCTCCGAGTCTTCTTCCATTAACCTGAACAAAACAATTATGATCGATGATTCCAAAAGCTCAAATTGTTTAAATGAAAGATGCTCATCTTCGAATGAAATTGATAGTGTTGTACGGATTGGTAATAAGGTGGGATTCCATAACAAGAAAGAAAATGAAGTTGTGGCTGTAGTATTTAATGGTGTTACTGGCCCCCATCAGTGTTCAATGAATCTTATGACTCTCAACATCAGGGGAATTGGAGAATTGAATAAATTGGATTGAATTAAAAAGCTCAAATTCTATCATAAAGTGGACTTTATCATTATCTAGGAAACAAGGGTGCATGATTTCAATACAATTCATACAAGTGGGTGCTGGGGTTCACAAAAATTTAACTATGATTTTGTGAGTCTAACAGGACAATCTGGGGGTATCATATGTTTATGGGACTCTATGGTATTTCTCAAGTCACACACTGTAACATCAAGACATTACATAGCTACCTCTAGAGATTGGATGTATTTTCCAAGAATTACCACCATTGTAAATGTTTATGGACCACAATCTATAACTGATAAGCACAAACTTTGGGAAGAACGTTTGGAGCTAAATAGAGAGACAACTTGGAATGTGGGTGTTTCTCAGTGATTTTAACGTTGTGAGGTACGCTAGTGACATGTTCAACTCCTCTTTTTATCATTATACAACATCAAATTTCAATTGTTTCATTGTCCACATGGGTTTGCAAGAATTCAACACTGGTTGTATGAAATATATTTACCTACATAAGAATGACATGAAATTAATACAGTTAGACAAATTTCTAGTATGTCAAAATTTCATTCAAGCGCAACCTCAAACTTATGTGACAAATCTCTAGCATGTGCATTCATACTATTCCATGGTGATCCTTAAACCCTACAACGCTGATTTTGGCCTGCCTCCATTTCAAGTTTTCAATTCTTGGATGCTTAGTAAAGATTTCAATGAAGTTTTTGACAGATCTTGGACGACCTTTCTAGGTTTTGGTGCTCCAGATCATTATTTCATGGCAAAACTAAAACATCTCAAAGATAACCTCATAAATAGGAGAATGCATGAATCTGAAAGGAAATCTGGAACCTGAAAAAAATTTAGGGAGGAAGTTAATTATTTGGAAATGGAGGTAGAAACTAGATCACTATCAAAATCATAGATCAATTTTCGAAGAGAAGCATAGAACAAAATTCGTGAGTTTGATTATGCTTCCAAACTTGATGTAAAACAGAAATCCATAGTTAAATGGATTTGTGATGGGGATGAGAATACTAGATGCTTTTACAAGATGTTGAGAAATAAGAATAACAAAAACAGGATTCATGGAATCACAATAAACAGTGAGTGGTGCTCTGATTCAAAACTTATCATGAAGGAGTTTGAAACGACCCAAAAATTTTGTTTTTCAATGCAATCAAACCATAATCTGAGTATCATAACATAAAAACATACGTGATGTATCCCAAATCATAACAAAATACTGTGCGGAAAAACTGTATCATACTATATCAAATCAAGACAACTAAAACCATCCCCAGGATAAAGCTAAGCTGTGGTGTGTGCGATGCTATCACCCCGAGCTCTTCCCTTTGCTTGCGGAAGTACCTGAAACCAAAACTGAAACTGTAAGCACGAAGCTTAGTGAGCTCCCCCAAACTACCACATACCATACAGTATCATATAAACACATATTGGGCCTGGCCCACTGCATCGGGCCGAAGCCCGAAAACTGCATCGGACCGAAGTCCGGAACTAACTGGGACCTTGTCCCCTGCATCGGACCGAAGTCCGGAACTAACTGCATCGAACCGAAGTCTGGAACTAACTGCATCGGACCAAAGTCTGGAACTAACTGCATCGGACCGAAGTCCGGAACTATCTGCATCGGACCGAAGTCCGGAATCGACTGGGACCTTGTGCCCTGCATCGGACCGAAGTCCGGAACTGACTGACTGAACATGGCATAGCATAACACATCATCTAGCATGAACACATATACTGCATACTACATCGGGCCGTAGCCCGGAACACATAACACTTAACACGTAAAACATAGCATACAAATCCTGTCTGAGCCACGAAGGCATCAAACATACTAGCTACTGCATCGGACCAAAGTCCGGAAACTACTGCTAACTGAACGGGCCGGCATTGTGGCCTTAGACCCGTCCCTACTGGAAGGAAACTCACCTCGTAAACTGGCTGCTGAGTGTGTGGCTCTGGAAGCTAACGGCTACTGCTCCTGTATCTCCCCGGCTACAAGTCCATAAACACACTCAATCAAATACTAAACACCGCACTTGGGTAAAAATGACTCTTTTACCCTTGGTCAAAGTTACTCTCATTTGGACTGACTCGCCGAGCTGGGCCACCCAACTCGCCGAGTCCTACTCTCACTTTTCAATCCTACTCGCTGCTACTCGTCGAGTATGGCATCGACTCGACGAGTACCCTCTTGATCCAAGAACTCAGACAATCTTCATCCGACTCGCCGAGCCGTATGAACATACTCGACGAGTTGTTCTTGATCTTAAGAAGATTGCCTTGGACTCGCTGAGTTGTATGAACAACTCTCCGAGTCCCTCCATTACTGAGTCTACCTTCAACTCGCAGAGTCCACTCTCTAACTCACTGGTTCCACTCAACACTGCTAAAAATGAAGGAATTGGGGACTCGCGACTCAACTCGCCGAGTCGTTCTTCCCGACTCGCCGAGTTGCCGCCATGCAACTGTTTTTCACCCGATTTTGCTTGAATCCAACACATTCAAATGATAGATCTGAGTCCAATAAGCTGGTTTACCACGTAAAGTTTCCAACTTTACGTGTACAGCACATGAATAAGGGAAAATAAGGCTAAAAGATGCATAAAAGGGATAGATCTAGGGTTAATATGCAAAGTATCCTCATAAAGGCAATAGATCTGGACTATGGGACTTCTCAATGAATAGATCCAAGGTTATCTCGGCTTATTAGGGCATTCATGAAAGCACAAGGCTTGGAACAAGCATCAACTAGTTCTTAGAAGAGTTCTAATGGAGGTTTAAAGCATAAAACAAGAGGGGAATCCGAAAATACCTCCAAATAACTCAGATTTGCCCTTGGATCTTGCACAACTCTTCTTCTCCTTGCTCCTTTCTTCTTCTCCTTCTTCAAGCATTCACAAATCACACAAAATCACTTATAAACTCTCAAGGATGTACTAGGGTTTTTCTCACAATGTTCTCAGGGTGAAGGAGGCAAGAATGGGGCTATAAGGTGACCTAAACAGTGGGCAACCCGGGGATTTAGGGTTTCACCCAGACGGATGGACTCGCCGAGTCCGGGATATGGACTCGCCGAGTCTCCAGCTAACACGTGCTCGAAGTTGTGACCCTAGTCGGCGAGTCAGGCTATGAACTCGCCGAGTCCCTCTTGCAAATCTTTAAAACAATTACTAATAAATTAACATACCGGGAACAGGTCGTTACAATTCTCCCCCACTTATCTCAAACTTCGTCCTCGAAGTCTGCTACAGCTGGATCTGCAAATATCTCCGGGTAGTGCGCTCTCATCTCCTCCTCAGCCTCCCACGTCCATTCAGACCCCTTCCGGTGCTGCCACTGTACCTTCACTAGCTGAATTACCTTGTTCCTCAAAGTCTTGGCCTTCCGATCCAGAATCGCGACCGGTCTCTCGATATAATTCAGGCTGCTATCAACCTGAATATCCTCTAGGGGAACGACTGTTGACTCATCCACCAAACACTTCCTCAACTGCGATACGTGGAAGGTGTTGTGGATCTGACTAAGCTCCTTAGGAAGATCTAACCGATAAGCAACCCGACCCACCCGGGCCAAAACCCTGAAAGGACCAATAAATCTGGGGCCTAATTTGCCCCTCTTCCGGAACCTGATGACACCCTTCCAAGGTAAGACCTTTAGAAGGATCATATCTCCCACCTGAAACTCCAAGTCCGAACGCCTCCTGTCAGCGTAGCTCTTCTGCCGACTCTGCGCATTCTGCAGCCTACTACGGACCTGCTGGATCAACTCAGTCGACTTGAGCACCACTTCTGTGCTCCCGATGACTCGCTGACGACCGCCTCCCAACAAATCAGGGTCCTACACTTCCTCCCATACAGCATCTTAAAAGGAGTCGATCAATACTCGCATGATAACTGTTGTTATACGAGAACTCCGCTAACGGAAGATACGTATCCCAACTGCCCCAAAATCTAGAACACATGCCCTCAGCATGTCCTCAAGAGTCTGAATCGTCCTCTCGCTCTGCCCGTCAGTCTGGGGGTGAAAAGCGATGCTGAAAAGAAGACGAGTACCCATCTCGTCATGGAACAGCTTCCAGAATCTGGATGTGAAACGGACATCTCGGTCTGACACCACCGATACCGGCACTCCATGACGTGCCACAATCTCTCGCACATAGATATCGGCTAACTTTTCCGCCGATATACTCTCCTGAATCGGAATAAATGGGCACTCTTCGTCAAACCGATCCACTACTACCCATATCGAATCCACTCGCGTGCGGTCCTGGGAAGCTTGGTGACAAAATACATGGTGATGTCCTCCCATTTCCACACGGGAATGTCTAACGGCTGCATCTTGCCGTGAGGTCTCTGGTGTTCCGCCTTGACCTTCCAGCAGGTCAAGCATCTCTCAACATACCAAGCGACGTC